TAGATTTGAAATGCTTTATAAAGTTGCTTTAAATATTAAGAAGACTTCCACCATTGGCATATTGAAATATGCAAGTACATTAAGTATTCATGTGTTTAGATATCCTTAAGCTTTATACTATTTAATTCATATTAAAATCATGCAAGGGATAACTACTTAACTTCTTTAAAATTCTCGAGTGCATCATTCTCCAATATAATTACCGGGACCAATTTTTATATAATTTACAATAACTTTGTTTATGTACATTAATTAATCCACTATGCAATTGATATCCTTATTCATTACCTATTTTGAATCGTTATATCTAACGCTAATGCTAAATGGTTTTATAAATTCTTCTAACCGAGATGTGCTAAACCTTATAATGATTAATATATGATAAATCAGGAGACAGATATAAAATACTACAAGGCTTTGGCGCATTATCTTGTGTATGTATTTTTGAGATGGTCTACCGACACAGCAATACACATGACTTATCCTCTTATCGGCACAGCAATTAGTATGGACTCCCTACCAATTGTTGTGCCGATAGAAGATAAGTCATGTGAATTGTTGTGTTAGGTGCAAAACCACAGGTCTGACTTTCAATATTTTGTATCGGACACAATTAATTTAATTTATTAGGGATTGTGTCCAGTACGAAATATAATTGAAAGTCCGAACTGTGATTTTCCCTTGGAAGCACTCAAATAGCATAAATCAGAGAATTCATTTTATTTTTCCAATTATAATTCGACATAATAAAATGCTATTTAAAAAATCCTGCTTATTTCGAAATGCACACTTATTTGTTAATTTTGAAACCACCAATACTAATAACATTTATTATACATAACGCGAATATGAAAATTTTGGTTACCGTATCCTATCATGAATAAGCACTACACCCTCTACCCCAATTTTTAAATTTCAGATTAGCGGAAATCGCAATGAAGTCTTTAGCCAAATTATTACCGTTAATCTGATATTTAAAAAAGTGGGGTAGAGGGTGTAGTGCTTATTCACGATAGGATATGGTACCTTATTTTCAATGTGCATATACAATATTTTAAATACAGTATAAACGTATTGTCTATCTGTCATCATGATACGTATCCGTAGGTTATCCGGTTTATCCGGATATCCGTAGAGTTATTTGTTATTATTATCCGTAAGGTTACCCGGTTATCCGTAGGATTTATCCGGATATCTGCAAATCAAAACCTGACGGTTTATCCGGATACAGCTTTTATAAAAAGGGTACAGAAAAACGGGTATCCGGATATCTGGGTCCAAACTCTACCCAAGATTTACAATTTGATGGTCATATTACTAATTCTGAAAGTACATAAAAATTCCAAAACTTTCTTCCCATATACGAATTCTGTACGTATATTATCATATTTTCCATCATATATAGCAATGTCGATAAAGCCGCACATTAATAAAATAATATTAGGCATTTCCATCGTGATATTTGTTATATCTTCATTTACCTTAAAGCTCATATATACAACCCAATTTGCAAATGAGTTTAGCGTCGAGCTTGCCGACCCGGTAGAGTCAAATTTCACAACAGCATTGGTGGATAGACTTAAAATCAAGCCTACAACATTTAAAGAATGGAAACAGAGACACTACTTAACAGGTTATTTGAATAATAACCAGAAAGTAAAAGTATACATAACAAGGAATGTTGGGTGGGATGATGTGCTAGGACCCAAATATAGAAACGAGATATTAGTAAAATGTGATATACCATGTATTTGGAAAGAAGGACATCTAGATCAAGTAGAACCCAAAGAGCTTAAAACCGTTGATGCCCTCTTTTGTGTCAACCAACCAAATTTACCGAAAGAGAAAGCATGGAAAGGACAGAAGTTAATACATTTACTTTAGAACCTAAGGCATATCATCCGGAGTTTCATGATCAAACCGACCTTTTTGATATACGTTCAACATTCAGATATTCCCACAAGTTACGTCCGACCAGACTTCGAGAGTTGGCGAACTCAACAACCCTTTAATATAACAAAGCTATCACAAAATTCAACTTTTATTTCTTTCATAACTTCTCACAGAACTGAATTTCGTGAAACTTGGGTTCCAACTCTTCAGGCCTACATTCCGGTCGCATCCTTCGGTTCCTTCCTTCCGAACACCCCATGGGAAACGCATCCTGAATGCATGAATTTAGAACATTTTAAAGCAAAAAATTGTATTATCTCTAAATATCCATTTTATTTATCCGTTGAAAACTCCCAAGAGAAGGATTACTCAACCGAAAAGCTTTGGGATCCATTTTATTTAGGAGTTGTACCCGTTATTTGGGGCGCACCTAATACTCGCTCATACTTACCACATCCTAAATCTGCTATTTTTATTGATGATTATCCAAATGTCGAAGCTCTTGCAAATCACTTAAAGTATTTAGTTAAAAATAAAACAGCATATTTAGAGTATCATGCGTGGCGGGCTATGAATTTTTCAGATGGATTTAAGTTTATTCACCAATACTGTTGTGAAATTTGACTCTGCCGGGTCGGTAAGCTCGACGCTAAACTCATTTGCAAATTGTTTTGTATATATGACCTTTAAGGTAAAGAAAGATAAACCAAATATTACAATGTAAATGCCTAATATTATTTTATCAATGTGCGGTCGTATCGACATTGCTATACGTGGTGGAAAATATGATAAGATACGTACAGAATTCGTATATTGGAAGAAAAAACTAGCCGTGTTTTGGAATTTTTTTTAAAACTAGAAAACATACAAAAATATTATTCTTTAATTAATAAATGTTTTAATTTCTATCTGTTACTTTTAACAGATTGATTGGCAATTTTAGGTTCTGTAATCTATACGTCTGTTGATCTTTGTACTGTCAATTTCGGTCACATATTTTAAACTTCTAAAAATGAATGGGAAATGTGTCGAATTATTGTAATGGTGTGGGCGACCAAATTCGTATGGTATGGGGTGTAAGTAATAATAATTTCTCGTGATCTTGCAAGCGATCTGGGATTAGTATGGTATATATAGTTTTTTAAATAGGTACTTATTCTACACCCTTTACCATACTATTTTGGGTTTTCATATTATTATACACATCTTTTACATTTAGATATTAATATAGCTTAGCATAGATTTCAAAAACCCTATCGTAAAATATTCCACAAGAAAAAAGCTTTTTGTTTTAGCAAAGAAGTTATCTTACAATCTTAAGTATATTATATTATTAAATAAAAAATGAATAAATGAAAGGAGTAAATCGTACTTTGAGGCTTCAATTTTATAATTTATTTTTACTATATTTGGCCTTTAAAAACCTGATAGTACAGTAGTAACATCTATGGCATGTAATCACATATAATATAATCTGATCAGATTTTCACGAGCTGAATTTAATAAATAATAACGATAATCATGAAAGTCTTAAGTTTCACTTTCTTGTGGTAGTGCTCAAATGATTTCTATACATTTGGCCTATCTTTTTATCTTAGTATGTTACTTTTTTTTTATTCATTTTATTTTTTATTTCCAATTAGCTATCCAATCTTACATATAATACACCCGCGGAAAAACTATAGTCCGCGTTATATTGTTACGTAGTAGTAGCAAGAATCCCAATATGGTATGATCATGCGATTTACGGATAGATTAGTTGCACAACCAAATTCAGAAAATCGGGCAAAATTTAGATTAGAATGACTGGAGTTAGGCCGGCATTAATCAATAATAACCAACTATATTATAGCAAAATTAGCGTCTGGCAATTTTATTTGGCGCGTAGATTATTGGATTATTAACAAAATTTATCAATTCCGATCCGGATCTGCCGAATTTTGTCGACCAATCGATTCCGATTTACGACGTATCGAGCTACCTTTAGCACAGACATTTAGGCGTACTAACTATTAGTACTCAATAAATTTTATCCTGTTTTGTAGTCAGATTATATGTGAATTTTATAAAATTTAAAAGCTTTAATTAATATGCTAGATAACCTAATCTTCTTTCAACTTTTTTACTTTTCCCACACCTTTGTACTACAAGTTATAATTCTTATGCATAATCTAAATTGCCTTTTTGTTAGCTGTATAATGAAAGCTGGGCATCAAAAGGTGACAATATATGTAAGTACAATTATAGCTGGTAGATAAAATAGTAAAAACATAGCTGTGACGAAATAGTGAAATAATTGATAGTGCAAAATAATAAGTAAAGAAAAATTTGAAATTAAGCAACGATATAATTTAATTCCACAAGAAAACGAAGGTTTAACCCTCTTGAAATTAATTTATTATTCTTACTATATAATATAATAATGTAAATAAGTTCTATTTCTGAAATTTTTAATTTTAAGATACCATATACGTTCCTGGTTTTTGCGCGACTGCATCGCGCAGCTACCCAAATGGATACTCATCTAACATCTTGATGGGTAAATAGATGTACTGTACGCGTCGGTATACTATGTAAATCAAAACTATATAACAAAATTTACTAATGAAGATTTTTAGATACTAACTAGAACATGATCATTGGCGGCACAGCCGCCAAATTTTGACCAATTACTTAATTAGATTTGTAGATGGCATAATGGCATATGACACAGTCAAGATTGTTTATAGTCAAAATTTATTAACTTGACTAAGTTGATGTATAAAATCAGATTAGTGGTCATACCCAAATTGACTATTCATAGTGTATAACATATGTACATTGGACTTTAAGCTTGGTTTTACATTTTTATATTTTGGCCTCGCTCCGCTCGGGCGGATTTAAACTCTACATTAGTTTTTTGCCATGCCTCTGGCACAGGAATTTTTTTTTAAAAAATGTTTGTTACTGTAAAAAATTCTGTTACAGAGCTTGCTATGTATTCTGGTAATCAAAGTATGTGATTAAGATTAAGTTAGTTTGTATTGGGATCATCGTGACTTCTACAATAGGCTACAGTAAAAATTTCTTAAACTGGGGTTAAATCGCCGCCCAAAAAAATTTCAGATCATGTGATTTACATCATCCCTATGAAAACGAAATTGTATGCGGGTAAACACGGGTTTCATGATCACTACACGGAAACTGCACGGAAACTGATCATCCAAAAATTTAATACACGTTATCACACGAAAAATTGAAATTCGTGCACTACCGTGCACAGTATTACATCCATATATTGATGTGTATTAATCTTAATAACCACATAATTTCTGTGCACTAACATGCACAATCGTTGAGATTCATAATGATTGTGCACGTTATTGCACGGAAGTCAAGAATCTTAACAATTTTGCATATCAGTGCACGAAAATTATCGTTAAGAATCTTAACGATTGTGATGATCGTGACGTCAGTGCACTGAAATTATGATCGTTAATATTCTTATCAGGGTGACTCAAAATTAATGTTCAGGTTTCTGATTTCGAATAAAATTAGAGACGTATTTGTTTTGAAATAAGTACGTATCATAATCTTTTTTTTTTTTTTTTTATGATGATATATCATCAGAAAAATACTCCTATTTCGTTTTCTGACTTCAAAATTTCAAAATAGAAACGAGATTTTTTAAATCCACGTTATTTTCGAAATAAGTTAATTCGAATCGCCCTATTATATATCATTTCGCGATTAGTACCATGTTTAATATAAAGTCTTAAATCTGCAATATATGAATGACGCCACACTTAGAAATTTCATTTCTGAAGCATAAAGTTTCTAATTTTTATTTTATCAATAAAATATTTTAATTTTATTTATTATAAAATCTATATGTAATTTTATAAATATTAGTGAAAGCTTTCGAGATTAAAGAACCAAAGCTTTTAGAAACATTTGCAAAATTTTCTTCAAACTAAATTTTATTTTTGTTAATATTTAGAAAAGATAATATTTTCGTAGAGAGCCATTACAGTACTAAATTTTCACTTTGAGTTATTAAAAATAGTGTTTATATTAAATGGCTTTATTATCTCTCATAGATTAACTTAATATGCTAAAGAAACAAAATGATTGTTCTTGCGAACACTATCTATTAATGTTTTTAATTCTTTAGGGTTAAACTTTGTATTATAAATATCCAAGAAATTTAGTGTAGTGTTTATGCGGAGAGCTTCTATTAATTCTCTTCCTCCTTCATTATCAAGGCGACTAAAACAAATAGATAATGATATCAGAGTAGTGTTTACATAAAGGGCTTTTGCTAATGCTTCTATCCCTTCAGAACAAATTTGATTATCCCCAAGGTATAAAGTAGTTAAAACTTTATTTACACATAGCGCCTCCGCTATTGCTTTAGTACCCTCAGAGCCAAGTCTATTACCTTGAATAGATAAAGAAGTTAGAGTATTATTCTTGCAAAGAAACTTTGCTATTGTTTTTCCTTCCATAGGGCTAAGAAAATTCCAATCAAGATCTAATGAAGTTAGAGTGGTGTTCTTGTAAAGAGTTTCTATTAATTTTACACCTTCTCCAAAATGAAGTTTATTTGATGAAAGATTCAAGTAAGTTAAAATAGTATTCTTGCAAAGAACCCCCATGAATATTTCCCATCCTTTAAAACCAAGTTCATTACCAGAAAGATTTAAGGAAGTTATAGTAGTGTTTATATAGAGTGCCTTCGATAGCGCTTTTATTCCTTCATGCCCAATTTGATTATAGCCAATATTTAGAGAATTTAAAGCAGTATTATTGTAAAAACATTCTGCCAATGCTTCTATACCCCTAGAACCAAGTTGATTATGACTAAGATTCAAAGTGGTCAGTGTAGTGTTCTTGCAAAGCGCCTTCGCTAACACACTTCCAGATTCAGGACCAAGAGAATTAAAAGAAAGATCTAAGTAATTTAAAGTGGTATTTATACAAAGAGCTTTTGATAAAGTTATTATGCCTTCAAAATTAATCCCAACATCTAGAGAAGTTAAAGTGATGTTTTTGTAAAGGGCCTTTGTTAATGCATTTACTCCTTCAGAGTCAAGTTGGTTGTGATGGATAGATAAAGAAGTCAGAGTAGTGTTCGCGCAAAGAGCCTCCACTAATGTAGTTCCATCCTTAGAACAAAAAGAATTTATAGAAAGCTTTAAAGAATTCAGTGTAGTGTTCTTGCAAAGGGCTTTTATTAATGGTTTTAATTCGTTAAAGCCAAATAAATTATCAGAGATATCTAAAGATACTAATGTAGTATTTTTATAAAGAATCTTTGCTAATGATTCGATAGCTTCAGAACAATTAGTACGAAGTTTAAATTTTAAAGAAGTAATAGTGTTATTTTTAAGAAGCCTTTCGAATAACATATTATTGTAAAAAGGCAGATCAATTTTTAAATACTTAAGCTTCTTACTTGTTCGTAAAAACATTGTAATTAAAGCACATTTGACGGAATTTACTTGCTCAATAAAGTCTATATTATAAGCATAATCACAATAACTACGGTCATCATGATAATTAAAATCATTATAATAATCGTAAAAACCAAGAAACGAATAATCTTCATATCCTTCTTTATAAAGCCAATTTTTAACCCCATC